CTCCGAGGCGGCGAGCAGCGCCCAGCGGGTCCGCCTTTGTCTCGTGCGCCGTGTCCAGCATCGCGAGGGCGTCGGCGCCGAATTCGCAGTGCCTAGGAAGATCCCAGGCCGCCTTTGTTGCCTTGCTTCCTTTTTTTTTTTTTTTTTTTTTACTGTATCCTCAAAGACTCTCAGTAAAGTCTTTGACCTGGTTATTATTTTTTTAAATTTTTATTCCCTCTATGTTTAAGTATCTACGTTGAATGAACTAATAAAGATGGATAAGAAATCATTTGAAACCGTGCTGGATGAAATTAGAAAGGTAACTTCTCGTTTTGTATGTTAGTTTAACCGTTTGGTGGTAGAGTGTTCCTCTTGATGAACACACGAGGGTGGGTGTTTGTGTTCTTTAAGAATCACCTCAGGATTCAATAAAGACTAAATTTCACCTCATTGTGAAGAACTGTAATCCTGTGTTGCCGGTGTATCTTACTTTTCGTGTGTCAGATAGAACAGTGTAACGCTGCTGTGGCATCCTTGCTGTCGTTGAGATATTTTTATTTTCTCAGAAAACTGAGATTGAATGCCCAGACTGCTGCAGCTGAGCTAGCACTGTGTGCGCTGAAGAGCAGTCATTTGAAATAAGCACTTGAATAAGCTTATCACAGCATCTTCACTGTCGAGGAAGATGGAGAAGAAAAGTCCAAATAGCCAAGTATCTTTTAACGCGGCGGGGGGGGCTGTCTTTGCTTGGCCTGACCGGAGACAGGAGTTTACAGTGTGAAGTATCACCTTTTTTTATGGTAGTTTAGGAGATACAACACAAATATGACCCGAAAGGGCTGATTTCTAAGCTATGCTCTGCTGCCCTTATTCAAAGCCACATCTCCCACAGCTCGGCAGTTTGCGCACACCTTCCTCCAGGATGTGAAATCCTGGGTTTCGGTGCGTGCTCTGAACTGTGCTGGTGCATCTCCTGTTAAAAAACTCACTGAACAAAATACCTACCGGTTGTGGGATGCAGAGATGTAAACCTAGGCTTTCTGTTGTCTGGCGGGTGCTGTCGTTTCTTTCTGTACAGAGGCCTGCTTTTAACAGGAGAGCTAGAAGTTAATTGTTGAGACAGTTCCCTAAATGCTGGAAATGCAAAAGGAGATAGGAAAAATCAGAATCTCTGAGATTACTGGTTTCTGTGTGCATGGGAAGTACAAACCTGGGATGACATATTTTGCTGTAGTTAAGCAGAGGTGATTTAAGCATCACAGTAGAACCGTTACATATCCTGCTAAAGCTGTGTTGGTGTGAAAATGAAGGGCTTGCTTCATATAAGATTGCAGATTATATGATTATGGCATAAATTGCAGATTATAAGATTATGGCAGAAAAGGAATCCTTAGTATTTTTGTGAGAGGTGTTTTTGTTGTGATGGATTGTCTAGGAGAGGTCATTTCCTTTACTTGGAACTGGGTGCTGCAGAGCTGAGTTTCAGTTCAGCTCTCTTCAGCGTGAGATGCAGTGATGATGGCTGCAGGTGTATTCCTCTTTTGGAGCATTTTGAGGTATAAAACACTGAGCACAAAAGCCTTAGTGATGAGTCTTTGTTGTCACTTACAAGCATTACACTGCACTTACAAGCATTTTACATAAGGTCATCGTCACAAATTCTCGTTTATAAGACAGGTATGTTCTGTGCTGTGTAACCAGCTAAAAACGTGGCAGCCTAAGATAATTCAGGGTCTCCAGTTCCCTCCCAACCTAAGAATCTTTGTGGAAAATCTGGGGAAAAAAGCCAAGGAAAAAATTGCACATGAATTGGTTCTCTGAGAATTGATGGTGGGAGGGAGTAATGTTTCAAATATTACTACTGCAGTGCGGCCCTTCAGAAGGCACTCTGTGGTTGCTAAAGACTTCAAACAAAAGGGCTTTTGACACGTGATTTCAGGCAGTTAGGTTTCCTGTAGGCTATCTGCCTGTATTCCCGTGAACCTGACTTACTGCTGATCTAAGGATCAGTGCTGTGCACTGTTACTAACAGCTGTGCTGTTTCAGTGCAACACTCATTTTCCAAATGCTTATTTTGTATCTTGGTTGCTGGGTCTTTGTTTAAGCTTAATTTGTAGCTCTCTGGTAGAACCTTCTTTATTATGTTCTTCACAAGTCAGTTGCGTTACTGTGTTCCGTTTTCAGCCCTACAGTTAAAATATTCAAATGTCTTACTGGGTAGCTTAGTTCTGTCTTTCCCTGCATATATTTGTGATTAATAACAAAATAAAGTTTGGGGTGTTTTTTTCATGAATATGCATAGCAGTGCTTTGTTTGTGTTCTTATTACGAAGTCATTCAGTTGTTGATTTAAGGAGGAAGAGTGACATTTGTTTTGGCAAAGAAGTTTCTATATGACATACGAGGCTTTTTTCAAAATATATGAACAGAAGGAAGGGAGAGAAAAAAAAAAACTGAGCATGACAAGAGAAGTTCTTTTTTCCCTTGTGACTTCAGCGTGTCTGGTAGTGTTGGTCTCTTAATGAGGTGCAGAAAAGAAGGGGGTTGTCTCTGCTAGTGGGTTTCTTTCCACCTGTGCTACTCATAGTCAGGTAGCAGTGATGGGGAACTTCACACCTGTGTGGAGGGACAAAGACAAAAAAAAGAAGCAATAGAGGTAGGTTTTAGGAAAAGAAGATAGAAATGGGTGTGTGAGTGGAGCTGGAGATGATTTGAGAATTAGCATGAGAGCTAGCAATAGATGGGGGCCTTGGAAACTGGGGAAGAGAGGCGTGCGCACCATTTTGGGGCAGGAATCCTTTGCATCCTGTACATGTGTCAGTGAGCTGGGTATGAGGAGGCAGAGGAAGCCCTGGCTATTAGACAGCCCACGTGGTTATCAACAAAACTCTGGCGACTAAGTCAAAGGTGGTGGCCAGTACTATGTTAAACTACTCCGCTTCCTTTGTTTTCTGTGATTGTGTGTTAACGCTTGACCTGTGGGAAGGTAATGCTAAGGCAGCATCAACCTCTGGAGCAAGCTTTCTTGTATCCTTAATTCGGCCTGTAAAGACTTGTTGGCCAGTCTCTCCATAAATTCGCTGAAGTAAGATGCTTTGCTGATTGTTTTACAGGGAACATGCAAAGAGGTTGTGTGAATAATCAACTGTGTTACCTTGTTTAACGTAAAGTTGAGGTAAACCATAGAGGCACAAGGAAGAGAGGAGATGGTGTTCTCCCAGTAATTTCAAACAACAAAAAAAAGAAAAGGAAACAAATAAAAGAGCAAATGTTTTTAACGGAAGAATTAAATTGCATCTCTGCTTTTCATTGTTCTCTCAATTATCTAAGGAGTGTTCTGTTACTTAGAAATATTGCAGTGTAATCGATGCCAATGTTACTTTATAAGGTCAGATTTTCTTAGATGATTCTAGCAGATGATTATGCCGTAAGTATAATTTTTGAGGGACTAATTATGCGTCTTTTTTTCTATGTCTTCTAGGCTGTATTGACTGAATACAAATTAAAAGCTATTGAATATGTTCATGGATACTTTTCGAGTGAACAGGTAAAAGTCAACACTTTCATGGGTTTAATGGGAGCTACTGGGTTTTTGTATTTAGTAGCACAAAAGACTGTCTTCACTCATACTGAGGCTGATCATATTAGCTTTTTTATTTGTTAACCAAGGAGATTTAATTCCTGATTGTCATATCAGCATTAATCCGTTAAAATAGTTCCAAGTTACTTTGTTATCAAAATCACTGCTTTTGCATTCTTGTTCTGTGAGGAAAATTGGAGAAATTAATCATCATGGAATTTAGGATTATTTTGTATGTATTTTCTAAACTGGCATGTAGTAATAAGTATCCAGCTTATTTTGGTACTATGTAGCTTTTTTTTCCTTTTTCTGTTTCTTCTGGGGTTTTTTTGGTGTATGTTTGGTGAATGTGCTGTTTCAGATAGTGACAATTTATAAGCTTTTTCAGAAAGACTTAATTTTTTTATTCTAATGCTGTGACGGTTGTGCATATATGCAAATATATGGAAAGGAATAATTATCTATTTTAAGTATTTCCATAGAAAAACTTCATCTCATAACATAGAATTTTTAGATGCCTACTTAGAAATAAAAAGAACATTAGGTGTTGGTAGGCACTGATAATCAAACATCACAGACATATATATGTGTTTTAGCAGTACACCACTGTACTCCAAAAATGGGAAGATCGTATTGATGCTGTTAGCATGGGGTTTTTTATATCTAAATAAAAGACTAATTGAAGGCCTTTCTGTTGCAGGTTGTTGAGTTACTGAGATACTTTTCCTGGGCTGAACCACAGCTCAAGGCAATAAAGGCTTTACAACATGTAAGTTCTTGTGGCATAACCTTGTGGAGTAAGTTTGCCCTCTTAATCTCATTTTAGTTTTGTGATGTCTACTTTTGCAATTGATGGGTCAATCTACCCTTTAATCTTCAAAGTCTCCTCTTGATGTCTTTCTTTCTCAATGGTATCAAAATTTGAAACTTCATACTTTTAACCAGGGTGTCTTTTCTGACTAAAGCATCTTTTACTTTCCTGTGTATCACAGGAATAGATGTGGCCCTTTGTAACTATTGTTAATTTTCCTAATTTCTTTGCTTTTGGCAAGTGTTTTTTGGAGTTGCTTGTTCAGAATTTAGTGTACAAAGTCTCCTTCCCAATGGGAGGGAGAGAACATGAAATGTTTACTGAAATACATGATGGGAAGCTGTTACTGAGTTGCATTCTGTATTTAAGATAATTGTACTGCCTTATTTTACGTACACTTTTTTCTTTCTTGCTTACTTGTCAGAAAATAGTGGCAGTTCCGGCATCAAAAATGGTTAATATTCTCAACTGCTTCACATTCAGTAAAGATAAACTTATTGCCCTTGAAATCTTAGCTTCGTAAGTATCTCTTATGTTGTATTTCCTTAACTTGTGTTGGTTTTACTAGTGTTTGGTTATATAAAACTTTAAATACTTCTAGAAGGAAGCACTGTGGCCAGTTAAGGTAAAGCACAAATTCATTATTGATGGAGCTGTAAAAAGAAGAATTAGAAGCAGATATTGTGCAAAATTCCATCGTTCATTGGAATCTTGAGCATGCTGCTATGTGGGCTCCTGCCTGCTGGAAAACTGCCACTTCGCCAGTGTTTTTACAGTGGTCTTCAAACCTTGTAGAGAATGAAGAGGGCCTTGAGCTCATTTCTACTCGCTGAAACATAAAAGACTTGAGACCAGAGTCTTCTGGGCATTGACCCTTTTGCATGTGAAAAGCCTTCTAAATATTAACATACGTAAAAATGACTTAAGTAAGTAGTTCTCTAAAATTGACACATTTGATGTACAGGTCTAATGTCTATAAAAGGTGTATAGATATTACAAATTTGTGTTTACCCAGAAGATAGGGTTTTTTACTGAACACAGCTACTCGAAAGGATCTACTGTCTACATATGTTTATACTGGAACTCTTCTGCCTGGTTTAGGGGATTTACTATATGAAGTGTTGCTCTGTTTTCAGTTGAGGGTTGTTTCGCATTAAGTACATCTGCCTTGCATATGCATGCTATATATTGCAGCCAGCTCGGACATTTTGGGGCATATGAATTCATTATATAAATATCCATAAAACAGATAATTCTGAGGATATAGACATGCTTTCGAAGTCGAGCTTTAAGAAGCTGTGTCAATGCTTCTAGTGTCTTTCAGACCAAAACAAAACAGGATAGCCTAAAGGAAGTTCAGTGGCACATTAAACTAACCTGTTTTGCTTCTCGAAATGAGATTGGAGCTCATAGACTCTTTAGTTGCTGCACTTCAGCTGGTGTGGGGGAAAGCGTGGTAACTTCTTTAGCTGTTGAATTTCCACAGTGCAAGAGCATAATAAGGGAATCATGATATAGAAATCGTAACCCAAATCCATGTACTACTTATTTTGTTCATCAAAACTAGAGAACAAAGCTGAAAGTTCATTCACATTTTAATACAATTCTTTGAGATCATAGAATCATAGAATGGTTTGGGTTGGAAGGGACCTCAAAGATCATCTAGTTTCAACCCCCCTGCCATGGGGGGCAGATATTTTTAATGTCTTTGTTCTACATTCTGCTGATTCCATTTCTTCTAATATCCTCCTTGGGAAGCCCTCGTTTTTGGGGCTGTATTGTATTTTCAGTAGTTTGGATGGGGCATATAATGTTTGACAGCAGTAAAGGTGCTGTGGTCAGAGTTTTGAAAGAGGCAGGTAGAATCAAGCATCAGACTCCTTGTACATGCACACTTTGTTGTTAGTGTGTCTAGTGTTATTTTTGGGAGAGGAGCGAGGAGAAAGGAAGGGTACTTTCTGGAACTGTGTGAGGGTTTTCACTAGCTCTGCAGAACATGAAGAGAATTGCTTTATCTTTTTCATTCTGGATTAAATAAGATTAAAATTTGTTTCTCTGCCAGTCTAGCAAGAAACAGTGGCGAACGAGTAGCTCTTGGTTTTCTGCTGTGCTGGGAATTGTGTGCTAGTAGTAATTAAAGCTTTCTAACAAACTGTTGTGATGCAAAGTTCATTTTGTCAACATAGTTATTTTTGCCATAAAGTTTAGCCATCATTGTCCATTGTTCTATATTGATATTTAATTCTAATACCATGTTTTACTTACAGATATGAAGTCCATATTTGAGCCCGGGTTTCACTTTAATAATAATAGTAATATTATGATCTGAACAAATTATGGGTTTTTTTAATGTACTGTTGGGTACTGGCTGAGTAAATGTTGATCACTTTTCAGTAGTGCATTATTTCTGATGAGCATATGGAATGGCAGTAATCATCTCTCAATGTCTTCATTTATAGCAACATTGTTGATGCTCAGAATTATCGCCTTATTGAAGATCTGTTCAGAATTAATATGTCAGAGAAGAAAAGATGCAGAAGAATTCTTGAACAGGTAGTCAAGATACTGTAGTATCCCTGAGTCTGTCAAATACAGTATTGTTTCCATCCTTATGGTCATTGTGGGGTCAGGACTTACCATGAGGACTGCTGGGAACTACTAGTGGAAGACAAGCTGAAAGAAGCAGCTGCGAAAAGATAAGAGCTATGTAATACATGTGCAAAAAAATAGGAAGTTTCTGCCAGGCATTAGTATCTTATGGAAAAAGGGGCACAGAATTGCAACCAATGCTCAAGGAAACAGTCTGTTTGTTTTAGAGAACACCAAGTGCTTAACCCCAAGTTCAGTAAAAGCAGAGGTAGTCCTAGTAGAGTTATTCAAAACAAAGGACACTTTGGCAGAACCTCATACTATTTGGGAAGAAGATTTGAGACAAAGCTGGCTTTGGCAGAACCTCATACTATTTGGACTATTTGGGAAGAAGATTTGAGACAAAGCTGTGCATTATTCTGTGTAGATTGATTCCTGCAGTCTGAATGTCATGAAATAGTAATTCGTTTCTTTAAAGCATTGAATTTGATAGAAAATAATGTCCTTTCTTGATTATTTTGCAGGCTTCAAAAACGGGTTGTAAGGCTCCTCATGCTATGATATCATCCTGTGGCATGATTCCTGGCAACCCTTATCCCAAGGGCAAACCAAGCCGCATAAATGGAATTTTCCCAGTAAGCATGATTCTATGCTTTTGCTTTTCACAGCATCTTTGATTTAAGATTCGTTATAGTATAACCAAAACCAGGATTCATATACATGGAAGAAGTGGAATCAAAAGCAATGGTTTTTGTTGGGTTTTTTTTTATTACCTCATTCCATATTTATAGGGAACTTGCATAATTTTTATTTGCCCATTCTTTCTATACTGCTTCAATTAAGGATTACTGCCTAAATAAGACATTGTTCATAAAAGGAAAACATTGTAAACTCCAGCAATATTTGGCAGATTCAAGAGAGGTGTAAAGAGCCTTACTAGTAGATTGAGAAGATGACCTAATATGGTCGCTACAGTACTACTGCTAATCTTAGTGTAGTTCTTGAACAACCATGTGAAGTATTTCCTGTGAACACTCAAGGGACTGCAAAATGTAAGTTATCATGTCCACAAGTCAAAATGCAGAATTCTAGTTATGTCAGAAATGAGATCTGTTTAATATGTATCTCTTTCCAAAAGCTCAGTGTTTTAAAAATCAAGCTATTGGCATGCTCTTACTTAACGTTTTACAAGCCTAGAACACCTAGGGTTTTTTTTTCCTGACAAACATGGTTAAGTCTCACTTTCAGAATATTGACAAACTCGAATGTAGTTTAGAAAAAAAATCAAATATGGCAGAAATTCTATAGCAAGATTTACTTTTAAATTAATACTTAATAGTTTTAATTTTCTTCTGTTTCAGGGAACCCCTATCAAAAAGGACACAGAAGAATGTACCAGTGAAGGAAAGGGAATAGCAGCCCGTATACTTGGACCATCCAAACCAGTATGTCTAATAAATGAATAACTAAATGAAACTTCAAGAAAAAAAATCCAACCACCAGCCACTTCAATGAGGCTTTGATGTCAAATGCCATTATGTTGCAAGAAGACTGTAGATCAGCAATTTAAACAAAGCTAAACTTCTATAACAAAGATAATATGACCTAGTATTTTTTTATTTAACTTGAAAAGAAGCTCTAGTTTGTATCTGTGAGGGATAGGATTCTCTAGTGGATACAGTGTGGGTGCGTTGGAAGGCAGAATTTAAATTGTAGTAGCAGAAGAGAAAACTAAAAGCATTTTTAGCAGTCTGTCATGAGCTAGTGGCAGTTTTAGATACAAATAAATTCCATTTTTTATTACAATCTTTGAGGGTTGCCCCCATGAACATAAGAAATGCCTGCATCTTGGAAACTTGAATTACAGCAGTGCCTTAGAAGGAGGTTCTTGTTTCTTAACAACACAGCTGATCTGTATGTCAAAATTTTTAATTTTGGGACAAACTTTCAATGAACCTGATACTACTTTGTATTGTCCAAATGTTTTATTTTCACTTTTATTATGAGACATTTCCCACTAAGCTGTATTATTTAAAAGGGGCAGGTACCTTCATAAGTATTTGTTGATTTTAAATGTACTAAATCTTTAAAATGAGAAGTTAGTCCAAGACTGCAGAGTGTGAAGAATACAAGGCAGGAAGGAGTTCCCCTTCCCACCTGTATTCAGTATTGTATTAAAATCTAAAGGTATACTAGTGATGTTTGTTTCATTCTCTTCAGAGAGAGTGAAATATTTGCAGTCACTGTGGATATTATGCAGAAATTTGATATCAGATACTTTTTTCCAGTGAAAAACAGCTGTCTGTAGTAGTATCTGAATGTTAGCTTTTTGTCTGAGAAACATTAGGTAATGCTTTCACTATTGCTTCTTCCGTTTGTTTTTTGTTTATGTAGGCTCCATCAACCTACAATCCACACAAACCAGTTCCATACCCCATCCCACCATGTCGGCCACATGCAACTATTGCACCAAGTAAGGCTTCTATGTGTTTTAGCTTGATGCTATTGTTTCATCCATTAGCCTTTGAAGTAAAAGTGTCCAGTGTCAGTTTCTCTGACCATGATCATATCTGAAATTGCCTTGTGCTCCCTAAGCATGCTCTGGGTACTGGTTTCTATCTCTTCCCGTCATAACTGCAGAGTTGATAAAAAGAGGAATATATTGACTTCTTTTTCCAACATCCACATCATAAGGAAAATACGCAGTCCTGTTCTGATGACAAAATATTTCATTTATGGGAGGCGTTGTGCATGTAAGACAAGACCAGGGGTGCGTCTTTATTGTAATGTTAACAAAGTTTGGGCTTTGGCTTGACAAGTCTGTTGACTTCTTGCTGTGGTACCAAACTTAGGATATGGTCAGGCACAGCCTTGAATTGAGTGGAAGTATGTAGAAGCTTGCTGAAGGAAGGCGATCTGTTTCTCAGTTGAAGAGTTAATCTGTTTCTCAGTTGCCTTCAGCTTCACTTTCTCTTCATCACAATGGAGAGAAAACTGTTTCTTAAAAGAAAAGTTTAGGCATGTAGATTTCAGTCTCAGAAGGGACATAGTGATTGCCTTTTCCGATGTTTGGTCTGACCATTCCTAGGCTTGTGCCTTAGGTAAGATTGAGTCTTTCTTCATAAACGCCTCTGTCTTTGCCCTGCTCCATCAGTTTGATTCCAAACCTTTTCGGAAGGGAGCAAGGCAATTGCCATTTCTTTGGAAGACGAGGTTGGAGTGCTTGTGTAATCAGACTCTGGTCTTTTCGAGCAGAAGCTGAAAGCTTTTCCTAATCTCGCAATTCTGTACTGCAAAACAAGCAGTGCTCTGGTTAGGAAGCTTGCTTTTCACTGGTGTTAGGGATTTCAAGGAGTTTTTAAGGTATTTGGTAAGAAAGCGTGCTGGAGTTCTTAGCATACATGTTGAAGGGTGAGTCGTCTAACCAGCTTGATGTTTGCAAGTCTCTTTATAGTTGTTTTGGAAAAATGGGCACTACTAGTTGATAAAGTAAGTCTGATGGTTTGTGCCCTGGAGATGACCTGCTCCCCAGAAAGCGTACAGGAAACTTGCAGATTAGCTCAAATTTATGTTAAATAAATTCTGTCCAAAGTAAGTTAGGGCACAAAATTTGGCCTGTGACTAGATGTAAGTATCAGTACATTTTAGGATATGAGGTTTTGGGGCTTTATTAGGCTGCAGCATGTTTTTTAAAAAAAACTCTTGTGACAACAGAACTTGTATCTGATGGTATGTTTATATATATAAAAAATGTGTTCAATGAAATTGCAGATGCTGACCTGAAACTATTGAATATGATTGTTTTCAGGCACTGGTCAGAATGTTGTTTTGTTTTCTGCCTCTTACATGTATTGGTTTAATATTTCCTTCCTGGGTGGCGTAATGATTGTTAGTTACTTTTCTGATTTTCAGCCAAGGGTTGTCATGTAAGAAATGTTAACGTTAGGTAGAACTGTTATGGAAGTGTGAAATCAGGAAGGAGTTGTGTATGACAAATTACTGCACTTGGAGAATTGATCAAGTGCTGCCTTTCCCCCTAAAGCGTAAGTTCTTACGCTCTTAAAATATTCATTCAGAACCACTGTGAAGTGTAATTATGTTCCTGTGATTTAAATTCTGATGTTCTTCGTCAGAACTGTGTACCACAGCAAGACAACAGTTTGAGTTGCTCCAGAGGATAGGAGAGGAAAAAAGGTATTTTTTAATATGTCAAGTACAATAAGTATTTTATATTAAAATAATTTGCTAACCCACTTGAATTTCTTAACATTTAAAGAAATATTGAAGAATGATAGACAAGTCTTTGAGATGGGACATTTTCCTCTGAATTTTCTGACTGGGTGTTGGAGGGCCGGTCGTGGTCACTGCTTTGTGTTGGACTCTCTTGTTCATCAAGGCTTTAATGTTAAAGGAAGAGTTGCAACAGCCTGTGAGTTAAGAATAGAAAAAGAACAAATGATGCTGCAGACACTGTGAATCACTCCTCCTCTTTGAGTTTTTCAGGCAAAATGGAACTGAAAGCAATTGAAACCTGACTCTTTCAGGCTCTTTCAAGAGAACTGCCCTTACTAAAATTTGGATCACAATGCATGTCATTCAGGCAGGCATTGGCAAAAGCCAGCATCCAGCCAGGATGGCTAACTGGTCTGGCTTTTTGGAGAAGGAATGTCTTACAATCTTGAAAATGTTCTTTTAAAGGAAAAGACACCTGCTGGTTCATTTAGATATGGGTTCTTCTGACAACTGAGATGTGTTTTGCATTTGTTCTTTTAGGTGCTTACAACAATGCTGGCTTAGTACCAATGGCTAATGTCATAGCTCCAGGCTTGTCAGCTCCTCCCCCATATGCTGCTAATCAGGTGGTATCAGGTAAAGTATGCATACCTTTAAAAATGTTGATTTTTTTTTTCTAATTCATTGTTGTGAATGGATCATTCACTGCTGGAGTTTCATTTGCTTTTAAATAACAAGCTGTTGTTTTCTGTTTAGAAAATGAAGACCTTTCCAGCCAGGCAAAACCTTCCCAAAATCAAGGTAAATTGCAAATCCACAGGGGGATTTTTTCGTTGATTGTATCTTTGTTGTTTGTTCAGAAAATGTAAACAACTTATTTGTTTAGTGAGATTTTCATAAGCCTCTAAGTATTTAACTATTGTCGCAATAGGATCCCTTGAGAATTGAGAAAAAAAGTCATCTCAGGCATTTGTTGCTTAGAAGCATTGAAACGTTAAAATCTGGCGTTTTTGTTAACTCATTCAAGTTTTATATTTTTCAGCATATAACTGTGAGAAATCATGTGAAAAACAATCAAAATATGCTTTGCAATGAAGTGCACTGAAACACTTCAATAATGTCTTTGCAGTTGTTAAAAGTCTGGACATCTACTTGAAAACTCACTCACATTTTAATTTCATAGATTAGTTGCAATGGGAAGTAGAGGCAGATTATTTATAGCTTGTAAATCCGTGTGTAGAATGTCTTATCCCAGACTGTTACATCCAGCTATGTCTACTTGCACTTTTGTCTTACCCCTTAAAATCCAATTCTTTTTCTGGAAGAGAAAGTTGTGCATTTATTTTTTTGTCTCTATTTGTGTGGTACTTTACATGTTTTGTACACTTTGTACAAATCATAGTGATAAATCCCGTTATGAACTACCTATATGAAGGCTTTGATAATACTTTGTTAGGTTTGACAAACAGAAATTGAGAATCTACTGATTATTGTGTCAGGCATATTAACAAATACCCATAATAGATAAAATGATCGTGATAAGTTTAGCTCCTGTAAATATTTCTAGGAAAAAAACAAAGTTACATTTTGTTTTTTCTCCTCTATGCCCAGAGATAGTTCTACAGAAATGTTGCTGTTGCAAAGAATCACATTTAAGTGTGCATGTATTTACAAGGTAGTTTATACAGCTAAATGGATCCAGTGTAAGGAATAAAATCTTCTCTTAGGAGGAGGAATTCAGTAACGGCTCTGAGTTCTATTGCAGCTGTATTTATCTGATGATTATTTTGGCTGTCAGGATTAACAACTGTGATCTTTAGGAGAGTCTTCAGCTTGGAAATAGGATGAGGAAAGAATGGAATCCAGAGCTGAGCAGGCTGGGTTGAGGTTTTTTGGAAAAGAATATGTAAAAGGAAATAGTTTCTTTGCAAACTTGCTAGTTTCAGTGTTTCAAGATACATAAAACAGGAGTTTGTCATATCAACTTAGGTCCAAGATTTTAAAGTTTCTGGTTTTGGGTTTGTGTGTGTACATGTTTAGGCAAGAGAGAAATCTAAGCTGTTATAGAGTAATGAGTGATGAGTTTGGTTGGATCAGTGATTTGCTTATAGTTGAACAGATTATTTTAAAAGTAAAATAAAGCACAAGGATTGTTTGAGAGGAATGATTAATTAACGCATTCGTATTCCACAGGAAACTAGATAGAGGCATATCAAGGCTCTTGGCATGCCAACGTTCATAAATGCAGCTTCTTTCCATTAACCTCCACCTCCCCATTTGCAGTGTGCCGGCCTGTTTTCCTCCAGCTCGACTTATGTGTCTTTGACTTACTTTGTAGGGTTGATACAAGCTGATATTCCTAGTGGCAGGTTCTTGCCTCGATTATAAACACCTGACTTCAGACTTACAGAAATATTTGTTGATAAAGTCAAGTGCCAATGTTAGTTTAATACTGTAGTGTGATACATGAATTTAAAAGTGTACCTTCTTAGAATCAAAATCTGAAGGAAACACAGTGAAGAGAATGACCTGATTTTGAAGGAAAGAAAAATACCAGCACCTGAAATCAGCTTTCTTCAGTTGTTGACTAAACGTCTCTGAAATCATAATACATTGAATTAACTGGTTCTGAAGGAAATTCTGACCTTCAGTGAGAGTGGATGCAGAGGAGCCCAGGTGATCTGATGCTGATGGAATATTAGATCTGGTTTGGGTACTGCCAGGTGTTAGAGTCCAGAGGGAGGGTGTTTACCTTTATCATTTAGACATTCTTACCGAGTATATTTCAGTATCTGTCTTGCATGAGATAACGAAGAGGTAGCAGATGTCACAAAGTGTTTTAAAGAGGAGTGGTAGCCTATGTGATGTACAACTTGTGTGATGTGTTTGTACGTACCTTTTTGTTTTGTTTTCATAGGCTCCAGTGTTCATTGTTTATGTACAGATATTGTATGTTAGCTATTGCCTGTGTATCATATTTTGAAATGCTGTATAAAATGTGTTTGTGTTGATTTTTTCAAACATTTCTGACAGTTTCAAGTATTCTTACCAGTTTTGTTTCTTTGCAGCTTTTTCTGCACAAGCGAATCAGCTCTTTACTCCTCATGGTTCTAATCCTTCAACACCTGCTGCTACTCCAGTCCCTACCCCATCACCTGTCAAGGCAATAAGCCATCCATTAGCACCTGCAACTCCACTCATCTCTGGGATGAACATGTCTACCCCTGTCCTTCCTGTTTTCCCAGGACAGGTCTCCTCTTCCATCCATACATCTCAGCCATCCACCCCAACCCCTACTGTCATCAAATCCCTTTCATTACCTGGTGTTCCTGTCACATCTATTCACAGTGCAACCTCTACCCCCATCCCTGCAGTTTTTTCTGGGCTGGCTTCTATACCCACTGCTACGCCAGCTCTGCAAGGTTCTTCCACCCCGTGCGCCACGTCTGCACCTAGTGAAGCTTTCCCATCTGCTACCGCACCATTTGCTGGCCTCCCGTTTTCTGCAACCTCTTCAATTGCTTCCTCTAATAATCCCACTCCATTGTCATCAGTTTTTGCTGGCCTCCCTTTGTCCTTGCCGCCCAGCACCCAAGGGATTTCTAGTCCTGTTCCATCTACAATTGCTAATTCTCCTGCCACTACCATTCCTGGTTCGCTTAGCTTGCCTAACCCAATTTTGTCTGTCTTAAAGGGATTTCTGACATCAAATGACACTTCATTAATCAATTCATCTGCTTTACCTTCTGCTATGACAAGTGAGCTTGCTTCTTTGTCCGCTCTTGCTAATCAAAGCTCTGACCCTCCCACTTCCTCTGTCAACAAATGTTATACTCCATCAGCCACCCCCACCCCACAGCGTTCCTCCACACCCGGGCTAGCCATTTTTCCAGGTCTTCCATCCCCATCTGTAGCCAATTCTAGTTCCACTCCTCCAACATTGCCTGCACAGTCACCGTTAACCACTTCACCATCGATTATGCCAGTCAACTGTGGCTCATCAGCCTCTCTCTTGCATGGCACAAGCCCTACTACTCCTGATCAGCAGCTCTCAACCACAAGTATCCCAGTTCTGGTCAAAACAGAACCCATGAGTCCTACCCTCTCGGCCTTCAAAGGTCCTTCTCATTCGGCTGGCCCTTCTCATGGCACTATAGGACTGTCAGCGCTCGGGCGCGCATACACCTCAGCAGCTTCAGTGCCAGTCAGTTTACCCAGTTCCCTGAATCCAGCGCTATCGGGTCTCTCCTCTTTGAGTGCTCCTTTAAACAATTCCAGTTCTCTGGCTTCCCTTTCCCTCGCCCCACATGGCTCCTCTGCTCCCATTGCCCCTGTGTTCAATGGACTTCCTCCTTTTACGTCTCTAACCAGTAACTTTGCTTTTACTGGTAATCCAGCACTTACACCACCTGTCACTCTGCCAGGGTCTTTGTTAGCCACTCCGTCTACAACCGCTTCAGCCGTGTCTGCCCCTCATGTGAGTTCCACTGCCGCCGTACTCTCAGGACTCGCCGCCTCAGCAACAGTCTCTGCTCCTCCCTTCTCGCTTAACTTGTCCAGTGCCGTCCCTTCCCTTTTTTCTGTTGCCCAGGGACCTCTGGGATCATCAAACCCATCCTTCCCTGGTTTTCCTGTCTCTAACACACCCTCTGTCACTCCTGCTCTCCCTTCTTTCCCTGGCCTCCAGGCATCTTCTGCAGTAGCAGCAGTTGCACCGTTGCCGGCAGGCGCCCCCCGGCTCCGGTCCTGCCAGGGTTTGCCTCGGCCTTTAGCTCAAACTTCAACTCTGCACTTGTTGCACAGGCTGGGTATGTTTCTGTTTCTGAAGGAGGTCAGAACCATTTCTTTTTCTCTTGAGCAAAACACTAATTTTACTTTAGGCGTAGACATTATTTTCACTCAGTAGTTACAGTTAATTAATTGATTTCCACCTGTCTTTAGAAACTGATATAGTAGTTACTAAATAGGTTGTCCTCAGTAGTCCCCGTTACCACAGTCTAATCCAGTGAGGTGCTGAGTGATATTTCCCAGATGAGGATACTTGGCACCTCCTAGGCTTTTACAAGAATGGATTCCACGTGGGCATCCATTGACACATCCAGGTAATAGCAGGCAATATCTTAGATATTCCTATGTTTTAAGGAAGTACTCAGCATTAACTTCTGTCTGTAAAGTTTTTTTTTATGTGCAAATTGTAGGCACAGACGAGGTACAAAAATTTCCCAGTTCCCTTCTTAGGTATGCTCCAGACAGTCTTGGTTTGTGTGTGCATGAATAATTTGTAGGTGGGTAGAGACTGGGCTTCTGTTTGGAAATTCTGGCCTTTATGAGGTTTAGAGAAAGAGATGCTTTTCTAAGTTATGTAGTCATAATCTTAGAGAGAGAGAAACGTAGGATAAAACGTGATACAGATGTTCCTAATAATAGCTGCATCTTGACATTCTTTCAGCTTGACTTCTGGACTACAGACACCAGGAAACGCAGTTTTTCCTGGTCTTTTATCTCTCCCTGGTATCCCTGGCTTTCCCCAAAGTGCCGCACAATCTTCCTTGCAGGAACTGCAGCATAGTGCGGCGGCACAGTCAGCACTACTACAGGTAACGTGCCTATTTATTAATACCCTTTTGATTCCAGTAATTGTTTGAGCATGTACTTGCGTGTTAACTTCCTGGAATTAGTTTAAGTCAGTAAATGATTAAAACCCCTAACCTGTTTGAGAACTGATTGCAAGGGTGATGATAAAGAACAGCTTATATTAACTTCTTACTCAAGGCCAATGTACAGTGCTTCTGGACGTTATGAATGTGATCAAACCCTTTTTGAAAACGCTTTGTAAAATGGAGAGGAGTGAAAGAAAAAAGAAATGATACGCAAGTGAAATTGTTGCTAGGTTTGTGTTAAATCTAATGAGCTGACCGTGTAGTTGCAAAATTTGTGCTCAGTTCCAGTCTGACATTTTAATACTTAAAGAATTCTGTGTAAAACCACTTTGTTGTGACTTACGTGCCTCTCTACACACACAATCAGATTGTCTTAAATTTGTGTCTGCCGTGATTGTGCCTTTCTCTTGGTAGTTGCCACAAATAGAATTGTTGTAACACAAGCTTGAGGTGGCTTTAGGTAATGTGTAGTTTCATCATCTCTCTTGTTTCAGTCATCAGCCTACTTAAGTTAACTGAGACTATCATCAGAGTTTTAGTTTGCCTTTTGTTAAAAACGGCCTCTGTACAGATGAAGGATTCTGGTAGGAAATTTGTCATCCTCTACAAAACACTAAAAAAGGCAGTTGAGTGTCTTGAATTAATGTTTTCTCTTTTCTGTGGCACATCAGTTTTTGAAATGGAGCATGTATCTTAAGTACTGTTCAATATGCAGAATATTGTCAGATACCTCCTGAATATCAGGGGGAATAGATTGGAAGGAGCAAATTACTTAAGCTAGGCCATGCTGCCTTTGCAGCTCAGGAATTTATTTATTCTGTAGAAATCTATGTATGCAAATTGCATGGAGGAAATGTCAGTTTTCTTATTTGCAAGTTCCAGTCGCTAAAATTAACACTTAGCTACTCGAGCAATGAAGTTCAAAGTCAGTGAAATACTACAGCTCCTGATTAAGCTATGCCTTCCAAATCAGCTGGTGCTTAGTCCACTGGGAAGTAAACACCATTAATGCTTCTTCATTTTCCCTCTTAATCCAACTGCTTTCCTCATTCTGTGATTCTCTGGTGTTTCAGAGCCTAGTTGCACTACAGCTTAGCATCCGCATATGGATACATTGTTCATCTCTGCTCTCTGCATACTTCAGATGGTACTTGGTTTATTTTGGCTTGAGTAGGACTGGTATTGTGCCTGACATTTTGCTTGATTTAGATTTTTGTTTGTTTTTATCAGTGCTGTTTCCTAACTTCTTCTCTTCCTTGAAGGCACATTCTGCTTCTGCTCTGGAGAACTATACAGCTCAGCCTGAAGGTTTTGCTAACTATCCATCAACACCAGGAACACCATTTTCATTGCAGACCAGTCTGCCCCAGAGTGGATGGCAATAAATACCAGACATTTTTAGAGACTGCAGTGGTTGCTTGACAGAGCCTGATTCTATTCACTTTGAAGGCTATCTCTGCGTTAGTGGGAGCATGGTCTGAATTGGGGAAAGAGGGGGAAAACATGAGGATAAAATGATTCCAGGAGGCTGTGTCAGATGTCAAACCTAATTTGTGATTGCATTTAATTGATTCAGGGTCTGATCCTGTGAATTGCTGAGCATCCTTGACTCTCCTTTTAGCTTGAGAGTTGAGTGTTTGGTGTCTTACAGGATCAGGAACCTTCAAACAGACATTTATGTAAATAGAGCACTTGGCTGTCAAACTGAATGAGGAGAACAAGTATACTTGATAGTATGTACAAGCACCTATCCGTCTGTTATGTTTTGTACGGTATATGTGGTTAATATAGAATGAGATCTAGACTGAAACTAGATACGTAAAGCGGAAGACGATCTTTCGTCTAGATGCACACTTCTTGTGTGTGCATAAATCAAGGTCAGTTTATGGTTCTTCGGATCTTTTCTTCATATGTGTGAAGGTCTCCTGTTAACATCAGCAGTGTGTTAAGGGGAGGCCAGATGACAGGGGTGTGGGGGTTTTCTTACGCTTTTAAATATTGTCATGGGCTTGCTGCTGAATTGAGTACTCCTTTGAATCCGAACAGGAGAGCTAGGAAATGATGCTGTACTGTATTTGGGTAGAAGTGGGTTATGTTTTACTGGAGTATGGTTTAGCTAGCTGAGAATATGTCTTTCCAAAGTGCATAAAAGCATTTTCATTTGCCTCTAAAATAATGTTCCATAACCTTCTCCCTGCCCCCACACTTCTCTGTGAATGAAATAATTATGCTGCGGATAGGCTGCCTATCCGGCACTTTTGACTGCAGACTTTTGTGAATGTTTACAGACATGGGTCAAATTCCTCTCTCCCTTATAAACTCACTGGTTCTCTCTATGCTTTTCGGCTATAAACCGCAACTTGATGGTGCTTACGTTACCCTGTGAATATAAGTGGGAGCAGAATTTGGACCGTGGATTTTTTTAGTATTTTTCCTTGGAAAATGTACCTGATTTTAAAGGCATATAGCTAAATTAACTGTATTGGTTAGGAAGGGTTATGACGCAGCATATAGAAAGGTCTTGCTTTGTTAGTGACATTCAGTTGTGCACTCTTCTGATAATGTTAGTACCTGTGGCAATGTGTAACACATCATTGAATATCATCTGTTTAAGATAAACTCTTGATCGTGTTCTAGAGACAATAGAGATGAATGATATTCAATCCTGTGATTAAATTAAAACGTAGAGGCTACTATACTGTAGAAAAGCTCTGCACCTAGAGTTTTACTTTTTTAAAGATGAATTCTGCTGGGAGATGTTGCTAATGTATTTTCTTTCAAGATGTGAACAAACTTTTTTAGAACATTAATGGAAATTCCTGTATTGGTTTTTAACACAATTTTTTTTTAATAAAAAGTTTACAGTCATGGCGAAAAGGCTTTGCTGACTATTTACATATTTACCTAAAATACAGATGAATAAACTTGTTTTTACTAAGAGACTTTGTAATGTTTGATCTTGCTTATCCTGTTTATTTATGATGCAGAAATGTATACTGAATTGTAAAATTGGTTTCCTAAAGAGTGGTGATAGAAATATTCTATGAAGTGTTCAGATAAAAAATTTAAATAGTGTCCTTGATACTTTGTAGCTTGTTGAGTAGTCTTGCATTTTGATAATCAAATTTACATATTACTTTAAAGATTAAAATATACTGCACATTTTTTGTTTTGTGAAACCTGTTGAATTCTAACGATTCTCCACTCTGGACTGCTTTTAAAATCTGTGCCTTATATCTTGACTCAAAAAATCTCTGTCGTCTTTCATTTTACTTTTCTTCTCATTCTTTTCATGACTGGTTCTTTGTAGATTTGTAGATCACTTGGAGAAGGAGAAAATAATGATATAGTTATCTTCTCAAGAGCAAATTGGGTTTTGTCCCATAGATGTAAATATAATGTGGTTCAAAGTCAGTAAGCGTTTTGTAACCTTGCCGAGGTGCTGAGTTTGATCTCTGGTTTGAGTCCTGGTTTCCCCATCAAGCGATCAAAGTTTAAACTAATCTACATTGCCTTGTAGTCAAAAACACGTACCAGACATCAGCTGTTATGCAGTGTTTTGTCAAAAGTAAGCAGTTTCTGCAAACATGTACTAAATGGTCATGGGGTGTAGGGGGTGGAGTTTTTTTCTGTCTGAACGTTGGACAACTCAAAGATGCCTGAGAGACTGTGAAGCCCTGTTTCTCCAAAAGAAAACACATGAGAGGTGGTGAATATCCACTGTATTAAATGCTGTTCTGCTGAAACAACGTACTCGCTAAGTGGTGTCTGGCCACTTTACCCGGGAAAGACGATTTCCTGCACAGCTGGTGTAGTTTTATGTGGAAGCTCGTCGTCAGTATTAGACAAGTGAACAAATAGGTTAAGAGCGTTAAACTGTCAAGTTTTTTTTTTGTCTAGAATGGGCTCTCTGATTCTTACGAAATCATATTGAGCAGGATTTTGTGAATTGAACTTTCCAGTGTTTAGGATTAAGGTAAGTTTCAATTTCTTAAGTATTTCTCCTGATGTAAAATTTTTTTATTAATTTTTTTCTCTTCAGGAATAAAGTCTGTGTTCTGCATTGCAGCAAACTGCTGTGACCTAGCCTTGGAATTTCTGAACGAGGTGATTTGTCCTGAGCTCTTTTGTGCTTACTTGAGCACCATTTTTAAAAAGCCAAGGAAAAGTCTGCTCCTGAGGCAAGCCATGCCAGATCTTACACTGAGCCTGTGCTGGGAAAGGGCAGGTGCTGTATAACTTCATTCTAGACTAACTATGATTTTTTCAGCTATGTTGACAGACTGCAAAGATAAGGTGTAATGAAATGTTCTTTGAAATAAAGTCTTTATTCAGAACAACTAAACATGTTGAGATTGTGTTTGCAAATACAAGTTTCAGTATTTCTTTCAAGTGCTTTAATTGCAGCTGTAAAGAATATGAGAGAAACGGAGCAATTTTCTGTCCTCTTCTTCCTTTGTTTGCAAGTGAGTGTTGTGAGTTTGACTGGGTCTGGAAGGAAACTTGCCATGGTATGGACGTTCTTACTTTCTTGCAAATTGCCTTCCTTTCTGGATTGAGATGGGAGCAATCCCTTTGACTGTCTCTCATTTTTACTCCTGCCATCTCCCCATCTTCAGCTGTTGGCAGCTGATGCCATTTTCACGAGGAGGAAGAGCAATATGGAGATGTTCCTACAAATAGGATGGTACTGTTAATCTTCTCCATGTCCTGTCCCTTCTTCTAAATTTTGATCTGGGGAAAAGGAATGATGAGCCTGAAGCAAATAGTGTCTAGGCAGAATTCAGCACCAGGAAAAGACTAGACTGAGAAATCTTTCGGCAGTATCCAATGCCCAGTGCATGAGAAAGAAAGTAAGGGCCTACAAAGGTCAGAAAAAGACAGAACTGAAACCTACAGCTTCGTTATATGAAGATCTCGTGTGAGGGCTGCCTGATGACTTTTTTGATATTTTGAGATAGGCGCTGTTCAGAAATGGCTGTGTGTAAGAATTTCTGTTCTGGTTTTAACAAACTTTGAAGTGGATGCTTAGTCTGTAGGATTAAGTCTCTGTGACTGGGTGATGAGGTAAGTGGGAGCAACTGGATACTTGAGGGAAATCTCAAAGGGTTGGTGCCATTTGCAAATGGAGCAGTTGGTACCGAGAGCTACCTTTGTGCTGCTTTCGGAGCAGAAGTTGAAGGCTTTAGCTACCTCAGCACGCTGCAGAAATAGCTGAACTGCCACTGACCTGAACTGTGTTCGTCTAATTTTGCTTCTGAGTCGATAAGTCCTGCTAAAGTGGCCTTGGACACAAACTGGTTTTCCGTGTGGCACTGCTCTGCGGCACAGGGCTGCACCAGGCTGTTCAGCACCTGTGAACTTGCAGCTTGCAAACTGCTTTGCCCCAGAGCACTCCTATGTTTTCTGCTCGAGTCTTTTGTAGCACTCTGGGATGAGTTTTCCATGTGCCCTGGTACAGCCGCAAGGAGGAAGGATTCAGATTGCCCTGCCTTTGACTTCAACTTTTTGAAAGGAGGAATAAGAGTGTAGCTGAGGTTAACATGGAGAAACTAGTACAGTGATGTTCCTGAACATAAAAACACCATCTGCTTTAGTCACCTTTCAAGGGATGTATTTACCGGCACCTCAGGGAATTATCAGTAAACAGCAGGGAGCAATTATTTCTGTTAGATTTTAATGTTTTGCTCATCTATCTGATGGCAGAAGCAGCTGTGTAGATTGTGGCATTCAAATGGCTTGGAATAAAGTTTTTTTCAATAAAACCGAGTTGCTCTAATATTAAAAAAAAATATGTTGGGGTAATTTTCCGTATTATGGTTTTGCTTCTGAAATAATTAAAGCACATTTTTCTTCTAACTGCTCACCCTTGCCGTCATGCTAGTAGGCGTCTATCCTGAACAGGTTTGATCTTACAGCTCAGTATGAGAAGCCAAATAATGAGGAAAACACTACAAATGACTTGAAATGGATATTGTCACATCTTTGGGAGGGTATTGCAATAAGCATGTCGATCTCAGTTTTGCAAGCTGCTCAGGGTTTTCACTGTTTTAAAACATCCATTCAATGGTGTAGTTTCCTCTCTGTGAAGCTAGCAAAGGATTCTCTGGGGAGCAATCATCTTTGCATGACCCATCGGAGGCCAATGTGATTACTGGCAGGGATGAAGACTGAAGGGAAATGAAGCTGGAGACAGATCTTCGAAGATATTCTAGGTGATGGATGCCCACAGAAAACAGCTGTATAGTTAGTGCAGCTGTACGTCAAATTCAAAAATTACATACGAAAAGACACCTCTCATTTTTTTTTCAATACCAAGCAACAGATGTGCGTCCTTTGAGAAGGCTGGTCTCTGCTGCTGCAGCCTTCAGAGGTGGCTTACTCTGAAAGGCTACGCTTGGTTTGATGGTCAATATTAGAAAGTGTTTTGTGTGTTAATATTAGAAAGTGTTCTGACTTGGGGGGAAAATTTTAAGACTTTGGAGCTGAAATGTTTCTACTGTGTTTTTTAGATTATCTAGCACAACAGGGTTCAATGTATTGTAATGTACAGTATCAAGAAATGTGTGTCCATGCAGCAGTTGGAGAATTATTTGTGTTGCCAGTGTTTGAGATCTGAACAGTAGCTGAGCCCCATAATATTAAGAAGTCTACAGCAGAGGAACAGTCCTCAGTCTGTACCCTCTGGCTTTATAGAATCATAGAATCATTTAGGTTGGAAAAGACCTT